AGTTAACCCTGCTAATGGCTGATTTGGGTCCCATGACCCCAGAACGTGCGTGCACGGTGAAAACGTGACTCCACATAATAACGTCACTAATGGCGTTATTATATAGCGCCGCCTTTCAGCGGCGGGCGTCCTTCCTAACACTGGACCCAGCTGCTGTATTAAGAACGGCACAGAGGGAGAGGCTCTGGAGGTAAGATGAGTAACCTCTCCTTCCCTTAGTGTGACCGCACCGATCAGATGCGTCAACAGTGCCCAATGCTCCTCCATGCATTGGATTGGGCCATCATCCTTGAGGCACGCTTCCAGGATGCTGTCACGTGGGCGGCAGCGCCGTGGGAGACTCAGCACTGCAGAGAAGGTGAGTAAATACTCAAATCTGACACGCCATCAAATCTAACGTGCATCTCAATTTTTTTAACATTTATTATACAACATTGCACTACAATGAAAATGTTTACTGCCATATACCATGGTAACATTGATGGTATTTATATTTTAGTGTTACAAGTTAAGTCTATTCTTTCTTAAGCGCTTCTTAAACAAAATTTACCCATGTCAATTTGCCAGAATGAAATTTGCCTGTATGAATTCATCTATTTGAATTCACCTATTTGAATTCACCTATTTGAATTCGCGACGGATCCGACTTCTGATTGGCCAGAGCACATTTAAATATCCCGGATTTATCGGAGGAAAGGTTTATCCCCTGACGAAGGAGTAATTCAAAACTCCGAAACGCGCGTCGGGTTCATTTAGTTTTTTTAACTTCACTAGAGCACTTTATCATGTACTTATTGGGTATTTAGACCCATTTACTTTACTAGCTTGACATGTCGTCTTTAACTTGGAGACTTATGGTTTGGTGTGATTTAATGCGTGAATGACAGCATGCTAATTTTAGTTATAGTTGCAGTATAGAACACCCACGAAGGTGCTATCAGGAGACCTAGGGCACTAGCATTAGCGGTCTTTATATCTAGACCTTATGACTGAATGCTGCACATACTCTCCTCGGTTCACCACCCCATAGGGTGAAAATAGAATGCACTAAGAGTTAAGCTACTCCAATCATTCAATAGAACTCTTGTCTATACATTATAACAAACCTAGAGACATTTATTGTAGCTGAGGCATTGTAATCCTGCATTAGTATCACTATCCTGACGCAAGTAGGTCATTCTGACTCTCGCTATCAGAATTTTTTCAGAGGGAAACCTGGCAATGATATTTCAGTGAATAAACCCCTGTGTCTATATATGAAGGCTTACACTGCACTTGCATGCTCATGAGTACTATCCACCACTTATCAACATTGTTATAAGTTGACATTTTGTAAGCCATATTTTGAATGATCAGGGGAATGTATAATTTTGCCCCAAATGTAATGTGCCATCGAATCTAACGAGCATTCAAATTTTGGAAACGTTATTTTCCAAAAAAGGTGCGCATTAGATTCGAGTAAATATGGTATATACATTTTTTTTTAATAAGATTGCACACAATGTTGGGGCCTGCAATTATCTCTGGACAAAATATATATTTTGTGAGCAGCCATTTTAAGTTATTGATGTTACTCTTGTTTCCTCACAGATTGGGCATTTGGACCAAAATTAGACGACGAGAAAGTTCATGAAAAGGGGTATAAAGATGACAGTGAGCGTCGGACGGGCGAGTTCAACTTGAGTATGGATGGATTTGGTGATACACAAAGCCTGTCACCCTTTGAGATAGAGCATTTACCTCAGCGTTCTACACATCGTCAATCTATCATCACTTTTAAAGAGGACAGCCGAGGCAGACTGTTCTGAAAATATCATAGAATCTCTACTGCCGGATCTCTGTATGCAAGCAACACTCTAAAAATGTTTGGTATTATTGGACATAGTGACATTTACATACCTTTTTTAAGGATACATCATTATTTAACCTCTCTAGGGTCAAAGTATCAACAAACAGTTGTGCGTATATATGCTGAAAATCTATATCAATGCTTATCAGTCTTTACATATCTCTACATAACAAAGCAATTATTCAAATTCATTAAGGGGCTAAGGTATGCGTTTTCCTGCTAACTTTTATACTATACCGAAAATGTGTACAGGTTGGGTGGGTCTAGGTGGAAAGGTTTGCCAATGACGCAACTGGTGATATTGAAAATGGCTGTTCCTTCCCACAGCCATATCAGCTTTGCGTCAATGTAAGCTAAATTGATTGACAGTCTTTAGGCCAGTCCCACCCCACAGAAAACCATGCAGACAATACTGCTGAAGTGCTCTCTGCATGTGCCAGTGCCCACAATGCGAGCATGTCTAATAAAACGCTCGCTCTGTGATGGCTGGGGACAGCATCCTGGTGTCCTCAGATGTGGAACACCGGGGAACCAAGCATACCTGATTGATTAATCGCTTAATTTCCTGCCTGCAGTATTTCAATTCTAGTTACTATCATGCAGCCTATCAATATGTATAACTAGTATATGCAGGAAATGATGCTGCATTAGGCAATCCTAGTTGTAGTATAAGCTGAAGGGACGCTGTAGCTCAGGGGTGCCCAAAAGGTAGATCCCCAAATGGTGTAGAACTACAACTTCCATGATGCTTTTCACACAATGTAGGTAATATATAATTTCAACTCAGTGAATTGGTTATAGTGCCTGGAGTTCCCTGGTACTGTCCCTCTGTTTGGTGTTAAACTATTTTCAGCCAGTGTAACACAGAATGGGTGTACAAAGCCACCAAAAGTCTTGGGCAGGAGTGCCCAAAAGGTAGATCCCCAGCTGTTTTAAAACTACAGCCTCCATGATGCTTTGTTATTCAAAAGGCTTCGAAAGGCATGCAAAGCATCATGGAAGTTGTAGTTCTTCAACATCCGGGGATCTATCTTACGAATACCCGTTGTCTGGGGGTACAGTTAAGATAGAAACATAGAATGTGACGGCAGATTAAAACCATCCAGCCCATCTAGTCTGCCCAATTTTCTAAATACTTTCATTAAAGGACCACTATAGTGCCAGGAAAATAAACTCGTTTTATGGCACTATAGTATTAATAGGTCCCCCTCACCCTTTGGGTCCCACTGCCGCCGGGCTAAAGGGGGAGGAAGGGGTTAAACACTTCTCCAGCTCCACGGCGCTCTGGGCTCCCTCGGCGCTGGGGAGTCTCCTCCTCCTACCGACGTCATCGGCTAAATGTGCATATGCGGCAAGAGCCGCGCGTGCGTTCAGTCAGTCCATAGGAAAGCATTTCTCAATGCTTTCCTATGGATGCTGGCGTCTTCTCACTGCGAAAGCGGAAGCGCCTCTAGCGGCTGTCAATGAGACAGCCACTAGAGGCTGGATTAACCCATATATAAACAAAGCAGTTTCTCTGAAACTGCTATGTTTACAGCAGGCAGGGTTAACCCTAGACGGACCTGGCACCCAGACCACTTCATTGAGCTGAAGTGGTCTGGGTGCCTATAGTGGTCCTTCACTGTGTTAACCTCTACCACTTCAGATGGAAGGCTATTCCATGCATCCACTACCCTCTTCCTTATCCGTATCAGTTTATACCAACAATGGGTGGTTGTAATAAAAGTGGTTAGATTACACTATCAGCCAATCACCACTGCCCATTGCTATTCCCACTATTGCTTCCTCATTAGCCTGAGTAGTACTGAGGGAACAGGCTGCTGGGGACAATTTTGCATTAGAACATTAAACGCGGTTTAACCAAACAAATAACCAATTCAATGATATGAAACAGGTATCCCTTTAAAGGTACACTCAAGGCACCATAACAACTTAATTGGAATTAAGTTGATATGGTGCCACCAGGTCCCTGGCACTGGCTTACCTTTAGAGGTTCGATCATTCACAAGTGGTTTACCCTCAAAGTTCAGTAAATAGCGCCTGATAGCTTTGCTCCCCCTGTCCTTTCGCTGCTTAAAATCTTGAAAGAGGAAGCCTCGGCCATGGGCGCCTCTGATTGTTCTAAGCCAATGAGTAGATCCCCATTCACAAAATGGCTTGAAAAAGTACGTATTTCTCTCAAGCCACTCATTGGCTTAGAACATCAGCTGGCACCCCTAGCCGGGCTTCTGAGCAATGGAAGGACATGGGGCAAAGTGGTCGGCTGCTGGATGCTGGACTTTGGGGTTAAACTATTCTTGAACATTTTAACCACTAAAGGTAAGCGTTGCCAGGAACCTCCTGGCATAACGTGAATTTAATTCCAATTAAGTTGTTATGGTGCCTGTAATGTTCCTTTAAGTAAAAAAAATGGGCAAAAATTAGAATAATTACCTGTTCAGAGTAAGCTGATAATGCATTTAAAGTTTACAATGGATTACTCTTTCAGTTAGTTGCTTTGGCAATTAAACGTTCACCAGCCAAAGTCCAGAGAGAGAGAAAGAAAGAAAATGCTTAACCCTTGCAAACTCACAGATCTTATGGATACTAATGGCAAATGTGATATTTTCCGCAATTTAAACAAAACACATCCGTACAATGAACATAATGCACTGCATAATGATGCTGAGTATACTTAGATTATCATACTGCCTTGCGTTATGTCGTTATATTTCTATAATATAATGCTGAGTGCTTATAGCACAACCTTTTTAATCTGCTCTAACAAGCATATGGAGCCGTATAATAAGTGCTATCTGCTGGATATGATCATACCGCCTGTAAAGAAAACACAATTAAATAGAGTCATATATTAAAATGTGATCTACTCTCGACTGCGTTGTTTTTGTTTGTTTGTGAGTTCCCTCACAGTTTGCATGGCAGGGAATGGGTTAACCAGTCACTGGGAATTTTAACATGGATAATGAGTGGATTTTACCCCCTGTACTGCCATAAAACTGCAAATTACCAAGTGATTAATGAGCAAGGAGGAAAAGGCAAAACCAGGAGTGTCATTTCACTAAAGATCAACAACTGGCAAGTGTATACTTATTTGGGACTGAACCCTCTGTCCATTGTCTGCTATCCCTGGCACCATCTTGTTCCCCTCAACATGTCTGCGCTCCAGTCAGTTCTGGTTGTTCTAATACTTGCCTTATCTACTATGGCACAAAAAGGTAAGTGAAATGTGGTAATCATGTTAACTCGGTTAGAGTTGGTCATTAGTAAACTGGAAGAAAAGAAATATCTGGGTTTTATTTTATTTTAATTTTTTTATTTGAAACAAGGAAGTAGGGACAAAGTTTCGGCACCTCCCTGAGACTAGAAGATAAAATGCAAAAAATTTGTGTGTGGTGTTTTTTTTTTTTGTTTTAGGTCACAAAAGCTGAACATGTTGCTGAGTTTATGTATTTTTCTTAAAACCAATTTTTTTTTATATATATAACTGTTGTGCAATTACATTTTTTACACTTTTTTTTTGTGAATGTGTGACAATTTATTAAACTCTGCTAATTTGCGACTTGAAGTGCATGATTTAGAAAACATGCAAGTGCGGGCTCTATTATGCTTGTTGGCATTTTATGATGTCACTGTAATGGTGACATTGGCACAGTCAACTGTGTGTGTGTGGCTGTGCGTCTCAACTTCCCTTAGCCTCCATATGTGCACATCTGGCTTTGCTGCATTATTTTGAAGAGATTCTATATGGTGTCAGTCTGGCCATTTTTCCAAGCTACTCCAAACTCATGCTTGCGTCTCTCTGTACTATATAAAAACACCACTTCCATTGGAGCATATCTGATCTACTTTGATTTTTGATATGGGTTTTTGAAACCGCTCCTGGCAAGACGTTCCAGCACTAATTTCAATGCTTTGAAAGTCTCGAGTTGGTGTTTGCAAATGACACAAAACTAGGTAAGGTAATAGTATGTGAGCTGAATATTATGTGCAGAAGGACTTTCTTTAATTAAGGGACTGGGCAGTCAAGTGACAGATGAGATTTACAGGTTTATTGTGAAAGTGGATATCAAATTCAAGGTAAAAAGAGCCAAACTGATAACATTCTCTAAGGTAGCTATGTGCCGAGATCCGCTACTCCTGCCCTAATTTTGATATTCACTTTGAATACTCTATGAATAATCCTGTTAAAGTATATGATTGCAAAGTTTTATGTATTCTTGGATGGGAAACACACAAACAATTTAAATTTTACCTACAAAGCATAAATGAAAAGATCTTTGTAATAGTTGTAGTAAACCATGTACAATGTCAGTAAGATATTTTCTAGCACAGGGGTTCCCAATCCTGTCCTCAAGTAACCCCCAACAGTCAGAATTTAGGGACTACCCTTTTGTTTTTAAAGTGTGTTGTTTGTGGGTGTTCCCCCCCTACCCCCTTCTAAAAACACCTTAGACACAACTGGGTAATCCCCTAAATTCTGAATGTTAGGGGTTTCTTGGGGACTGGGTTGGGAACCACCGATCTAGCATAATGAGAGGTATTAATTAATGTGGTGATCTCTTTCAAATGTTATTATGCAACTAGAAAAAGTGTGCACACAGACAACAAAAAAAATAAAAAGGGGAATGGAAGAGTTTAGTTCTAAAGAGAGGCTTGAAAACATGTTTGTATTATATATATATATATATATATATATATATATATATATATATATATATATATATATTCTCTTTTTAGAGGGGATTTGATAACATTATACCAAGGCTCAAAACTTACACTCACTGCTAGTCAATATTAAGTAACAATTCTATCCAGGTACATGGAAATTTAGCCATGTGAGTATTGCCATGGTCCGCTTTCCCAATGAATGTGAAAATCCTCAATGCTGTTTGTGAACAAGGTGGCTTTTGATCAGTCACTACACAGTTTATATCAAAATCCACCAAAAAAAGTTAATAAAATAGTTAATTAAATAGGAAAGCAAGTCACTGTCAGTTTAAAGCATTATGAAGTTTGTTGAAATTTTCTATCCTTTATCCAATTCAAATGTTGCCACACCCCTCTCTGGTAACCTATTCACTAACAGGGCAGTACAAATGACAAGACTTGAAGAAAGGACTACAGCAGGGTCAACGGTTCTTTACAGTATAACAATAAATATGTGGAATTTGCTACAAGATGTTTGAATATGGATAAGTGTAATAACTATCCACTTACGTCAGGTGGAAGAGGTTTTCATCCACACTTTTCCCCCACCACAACTCTGTTGGTATGTACTTTACAAGTCACGCCAAGCCTCTATTGCAAGCCAGTAACGAACCGCATGCTGATGAATTGAAATAACAACAAAACAGCTGTCCATGAGTGGTTCACTGGCTTTGCACCTCTTCCTGAGTTGTTTCAAAGCTGTTTGTTTATAGCAAACACATACACCATGGAATCCACGTATAAAGTGGAATTATGAGGCAAAAACGCGGTTCTTTGTGGAGCTCATTTGCATACGCCTACCCAGAATCCCTTTCAGTAGTGAGATTTATGTGGGAAAAGCAAGTCTTATGGCTTGACTGGTGTGTGTGTATTTGTGTTTAGCAATGTTATTTATATTTAATTAATTTTTTTAAGCGATTGTTACCCATTCCTATATAACCATGTACACCTTGGGGAGAATATTAAAAGTTTGCATGGTGAATCTAGTATCGTCTCTTAGTTGAGCTGCTCCTCCTGGGGGCGACCGTGTGCTGCTATTATTGCATATTCTGTACCATAGTTAACCTTTTGGACTGCAATGTTGGGCAGCATTTTGCCATTGACTCACGTGCTGACTGTTATGCAATGTTTACATTATTACATAAATTGGCACAATGTACTGCATAAGCAGCTGCTGAATCACCAAATTACAAAGATGCTGGTGGTGAGCCTATTGAATATATTGTTTCATTGCTGATGTCAAAGAGCTCTAAATAATCTGGTCAATTTGTTTGAAATGTCTTATAGTTGGTTTGTGTCTCTTTATTTTGTGTGTGGTTTTTATTTTTATTTTTTTATTGACTTATTTATTTTTATTCTATGAAGGGGATACATTTCTTTATGTATAAATGTTGAAAAAGGGTAGATATTTAGCCAAGTTTTATAGCCATTGTCAACTATGGTGTGTTTGTGTTTTTTTTTATATTTAATCTGGTTCCAGCATTGCATGGGGAAAGGTTGCTGGGAAAAGGCATATGACCAATGGCGGGACTACCGCGGTCGCAGTTGCAACCAGGCCCGGCTGCCCTGTGAACCCCTGCTACCAGGGTGCCCACCAGTCTTTTGGTGCAGTACAACTGATGCAATGTATTTCCAGGCACCCGGTCAGGGCTGCAGCGCTTTAACAGAGCGACCGGGCCCCCTGCGATGAGGTCAGCTTGGGAGAAAGTGATTCCTGCAAGTTAACATAGAGCGTTGCAAAGGAGAGGAAGGAGTCAGTGGGAGCTTTGACTCCCATCAGCCTGAGCCAGCCATTGGACCCCAGGGAAGTCACCCTCCAGTTTCCTACATTTTAGGTGCAGGAGGGTGACTAAAATATTTTGTATCTGTATGTCAGTGTGTGTCATGGTTTGTATGAGTGTCATTCTGTGTCAGTGTAGGCACCTGGATAACTGTCACCCCTTCACCCTGCCACACTCTCAATAACTCCGCCAATCCTGTCACTCAGCCTATGACACTCCCCTTCTCTCGCACTGTCACACTTACACCCCCCCCAATCCTGTCACACTTATTCTCCATCACTCTGTCACACTCGCCCCCTTTCACCCGGCCACACTTAACCCTTCCATTTCTATCATACTCACTCCCCCACACCCCCAACCATTCCACACTCACCCCTGTGGGGTGTGAATGAGACACATGGAGGGGCTGGGGGGGCATCAATGTGACATATGAAGGGGGGGAGGGTGCCAAGGGCAATTTTCACCCCGGGTCCCCATGGGGGGTGTGTGTGTGTGTGTGTGTGTGGTGGTGGTTTTTTATTTTTTTATTTTTTTAAATTTTTTAAATTTTTTATTTTATCAAACTGCAAAAGAGTTTAAAGGGACACTCCAGGCAGCCCTTTTTACTCGCCTCGTTCCAGCGCCGGGAGCCTCGTGAAGCCATGCCCCCTATTTCGGCAAAATGACGAAATAGGCGGGCGCGAGCAGGGAGCAATCAGACGCTTCCATTCGGAAGCGTCATTGCTCCCTTGTGTGCATGCGTGGCTTTGCTGCACATGCGCACATACTTCGTAGGGTGGCACTAAGCGCACTACCGCTCAGCTCGCGGTCTTTGCCTGCCCCCTCTCCTCTGCTGACAGGCAGGAGAGAGAAGGCGCGCACACCGTGCCTTCTCTCTCCTGCACACGTCAGACGTATTTTAATACGTCTGACGTGTACAAGGCCCTTTTAGGGCCCTACATGACAGGAAGTCCCTCTGGTGGCCGTCTGAGTGACGGCCACTGGAGGTATTCCTATCAATCAATGTAAACACTGTATATTCTCTGAAAATACAGTGTTTACATTAGATTGCCTGCAGGGAGCTATAGATCTCACCTGAACAACTACATTAAGCTGTAGTTGTTCAGGTGACTATAGTGTCCCTTTAACAGATAAAATGGCAAATGCCTGTCTCGATGAAGATGATTTTTATCCATCCTCTCCTTCAACATGCTAGTTGGTAACAACTGGCACATAAGTTACAACAAAAAAAATGAAATAATTTGATCACAATCATCCCTCTTTAAAATGATGCAAATTATCCAGGTGTTATAAGACAGCCCATTGTAGACAACAAAGTAGAATATGCCTTTTGATTCTTCAGAGCTACTGGCCTTCAAACAAGTGTTAATCCACCTATATTTGCACCTACCTGAAGCCTAGAGCACTGATCCTTCATAACCAGCTTTCTGAGTAAAATGATAATAGAGCACACTCTGACGTGATCAGGCCTGCAAATACCTGGAACAGCGAAATGGATGTAAGAGACCTACGACTAGTTTGGGAAAATGCTTAATAATCAACACTGAACAAGTGTAATATTACAGAAATATAGAGAACAATGGCTCAGTGTTCACTGTGAAAGAAATGGGTACATTGTGTCAAATTATAAAAAATTTAAAAAAATCTATAATTCTGGGGGGGGGGGGTTGTGTGTTTTTTTTTTTGTTTTTTTTTAAATTTAAATTTAATTTTTTATTTTATTTTTTTGCTTGGTTGTTAGTAAAACAAGACGGCAGAGGTCTAAATACACTTCATGTTGACTTTATTACAAAAGTGATTTTTATTATATAATTTTTTTAAATTTTTTTTTTCTCAGTGGTAAACCTAATATGCCAATAAGTCCACAGAAAAAGATAAAATCCACCAATTTCCAAGGAAACCAGCATGTTCAAAAGTCTTTATTCATAGTCTTCCCTTTTAACTCACCCCAACTGCAAGAAATTGGCTTTAATGTTCTGGATTTACCTATGTGCAGATCCAAGGCATGAAGGAACATGCTGTGCCGTGCTCTGCTGTGTGTGATGTCTGTACTGTTTTTATTGCTGTGCCTTTCTCTGTTTATGTATTTTGTGCTGTCTCAAGAACTCTCCTGGCACTGGAAGTTGTAAGACTGTAATCGTTTCCGTTTTTGTAGATGGAGCCCGGGCAACATCTGGTGGGAGCAGTCGTCAGTTACAACCCTGGTTGATAGGACTCACTGCTATGGTCGTGTTTCTCTTCATCGTCTTCACTCTGATGATTGCTAACAGACTGTTTTGCAAAAAGAGAAAGTGTGTATTACTCGAAAATAAAATCAATAGCGTCCCAAATTAACTAGTCCAGCACCATAACAGACTGACATACTTCCTCCAGGTCACAATATTGCATATTTAGGATCTACGTTCTAATGTAAAAGTGATTTAACTCCTAAATGGCAGAGAATTCAGCAGTGAAACTTCAGAGGCATGATCTATACACAAAAACGGCTTTATTAAGCTAAAGTTGTTTTAGTGACTATAATGTCCCTTTAACTAACATTACTATAATGATCATAGTGCTGTATCGTGCCTGCAATTCAGCAGTTAGAAGGAAGTGACGTCAACAATTTATTTAATAGATTATTAATCCGAAGAGGACCTCTTGTGGGGTTTTTATTTTTTGTAATTTAAAACATTTCTAGTTTAGTTATCACAATTGCTGTTCATGAGTTGTACCAGGTCTGACTCGTTGCTCTCACCGAAGTTCACCATATCCACTTCCATCCATAATAAAGCTTTTTATTTAAGCCTCCACATGTCCTATATAGACTAGCAAAGTAACCCTTGCCTGCCATTTGGCTGCTATGAGGGTAATCCCTCTCAGTGCAGAACCGTACTCCTCTTTCTATACAGTACCAACGTCCTCCTGAAGAGACCATGAAGGAGATTTATCAATGTGGTCTAAAGTACTAAAGGTGATCAATCGCCATGTAAACCAGTGAATTCCACAGGAACATTCCATTGGTGACTGCTCCACTCTTTCATTTTTGTACCATTTTGTAGAATGGAACACTATGATGCCGCCTCACAACACAGTGGACTCCTCTAGCCTCAACAAACCCTCTCCAAGACCGTTCCCACCACATAGCACAGTTATCCCACTTCTCCTATGTGTCCCCTAATCTTAAGCACAGGCTAGGATTGCCGGGTTGAAACTGCCTTCTCTGCTGCTCTTTCCCCATAGATTGCAAACATTCAGGGCCTTATCAATTTGTCCACAGGGAGAGCTAAAAGCCGTTTGTTTCAGTTTATGATCTCAATGCAGGGTCTACTGCGGCTACTTGACCATGCTCCTCACACTGTTTTTAGAAAAATAAAAATGCATGCCTGCATTCATGTTGGCTTGTGTTCATAAAGTTGCTACTTCCAATCTGAAATCCACTCAGTAGTTTCATTTGGATTCTTGTTGAGATTCCAATTGGCAGCATAATACCATCTGCTGCCAGACAGCACCACCACCACCTTGCCCAACAAAATACAGTTTCAGGAAAATCAGATAAATTGTGAATGCTAAGGTTGGTTGCGGAGATGGTGACATATAAAGCACGTGTGTGGTAGAAGTTGTTGTAACAACTAAGGGCCTCTCTTACATATACAGACCCAGAGAACTTGCTTTTTCATGTTGACTAATAATCATAATTTTTTTTTTGTACTAACATGTGTTTTATACATTGCAGGGATGAATTTGAGGAGGTGAAGAACGAACGGTAAGGTCCATCTTGTTCTTTTATACGTTATTGATAAGGGAGTAGCAAGAGTATCAGAACTGTTTCAGTTTAATATTTTCTGAACTAGTTTTTATTGGCATTTATAAGGACTACTGATAATTGTGTGTACGAAACTGTAGATGTAACCATGACACATGTATCCTCCTCCCCCTTAATGATGCCTGGAGATGCGGCAGGTTCTGAATTGGGGTTGAGGGTGGGGGAATGCAGCATTCTCCCTCTTTCTCCCCTACTTTTTAAACTTCACTGGCAGAATCCAAAGAAAATCGGGGGAGAGAGGGGAGGATCATGAATTTAAAAAATAAAAATTATATATATTCCCACATACTTTAAAAACTATGTTTGATTTTTGCTAGATGTCAGCAGGTTATTGAGGAATGAAATGCTGTTACATTGAAAGACCTTAACCCCTTAAGGACCAAACTTCTGGAATAAAAGGGAATCATGACATGTCACACATGTCATGTGCCCTTAAGGGGTTAAAGGGCAACACACCCATCTTCATAGATAGTTCAGGTTTCCTCACCTTTCTAATACATCTTCAAAATACACAAACAAGTTAACCGTTCTGCATTTGGTGGCTACTTTTCAGACATATCTGTAAATTCAGGTAATTTACACTTTTTTTTTTTTTTTTCTCTCTGCAGGATGGAAGCAAATGCTTATGAAAACAGTGCTTTAGATATAGAAGAGGGGGGGAAGATAAAACCCATGGGAAAGTGGGATGAAAAAGATGAAAATAATGAAGCTCAGAAGGTTACAGAAATGTAGAATGGACCACTCTTGATAATGTCAACTCCTTCCCAACCTCACTTAATATGTAGTCCCTAATCGCCTCACCGTTAACTTAAAACAATGTATCAGAAGTTAAGCTTTTTCTCGTGCCTAATTGTACCAAGTTGTAAAAAAAGTCACTATATAAGACAACGTTGTTTGTGCATGCATCTTCGAGATCACCAACACTTGACATTTATGTACCTTGCATCCACCAGTTAAGTTAGTAAGTGTATGAAGTTGTGGCGCTAAATCCACATTTATGGATTATTCATTACAGGAAGAATTAAGGTGTGTGTTTTGTGGCTTGTTTTGTCTAACCATGGTTACACAGTAAGTGATCAAAATGCTTCTTGTTATGTGTAAATTTCTATAAACTGATATGAAACATCTACCTCTGATGTTCTTTGGTGAGAAATAATATTGATTGAACTGTTATCCATTCACATTTAGGTTCTAGCATGTTAGATATATTATTAAACTGCGCCAGATTGTGTTAACTGTTATAAATTATAATATATCTTCAAGGGGTTCTTGTTTCATTCCTACAGTGCTTTGGTTTCCTGTCCATCGCAGAGCAGTTGTAGCATTGCAAGAAATGCCTTCCGATATCAATCTAGTCATGCTCAGTATATCAGTAGTGTTCCAGATTAAGAGAATATCGTCAAGTAAAAACGAAGTTCCCAAACGCATTTCGCCATACATTTTGGCTTTATCAATGATACTTGGCTTTCTAGTTTTGGCCTCTTCTGAATTTAAAGGTAACTAGACAGAGTAGGTGTGTGGTCACCTAAAAAAAATATTAATCACATTGTGTTTTATTAACATTCTTGTAGTTAGGCGCTACATTAGCAAGTGAATATTTTTGTAATTATGGACCAAGTTCGAAAGAAGGGTCAGTTACATATTTGAATACGTGTTTCCTTAGTTACCCACACTCGAGTCAATATTACTATTTTCTCAACTCTATAAAATTGTTGTAAGACTTCTGTTGTACAGGTTAAAATAATAGATAAAGTATATCTTTAATTTTAGTTAGTTCCTGGTGAAATTAGGTAAGTGGGTCATTAACATATCTGTATTTAGGTTTCCATGGCAACCAGTACCGCTAATTTTAAACTCTGTTAAATTAAACATATGATATATACTTTTATGACTACAACTGTGCTGAAATCAGGTGTTCATATGTTATAGAAGTTTTATATCAGGTTTCCATAGTAACCCATAAGCGCTCTTCAACTTTTTTTTTTTTTCTTCTTCTCTTTTCTCCTCGTTGAAGGACTTAAATTGGTGGCAGGTTGGGGCCCTAAATAATAATGGGGTGGACTTATGCTCTCCCCAATCCCCACTTATTGACGGTAGGTGGGGTCCTAAATAATAAAGAGGGGGGGGGGTTATAGGTTATATGACCTAATAAGACCACACCCATTGGTAGCGGGTGTGAGCCCCAAATTAAGTGGAGGGTGAACCTATTGTCCCGCCAGACCTCACCCATTGTAAGCAGTGGCGGTTAATAATTAAAAAAAATAAAAATTCTCCATTTCGCCCCCTTCCCCCCCCAACGTGACAAGGGAATTATCAATCCCATAGTCTCAACCCCCATGGTGGATAAGGGTACGCAGGTACCTAGCAATTCCTCCATAATAAAATACCTAGCTACACCCTCATCCTAATAATCATAAGGAGGGACAATAAACTAAATATTTTTAATATAAAACGACTGAACTCGCAGGGCTTGGAAAGCTTTATAAAGGCTTTCCCACCCTGTGCAACTTGACTCAGACCACTCTGATTGGTTGGCCTAAGCAAAGCGCTCTGGCTCAAATTGCACGGCTTTTTTTTTTTTTTTACAAATATTAAGGTTACTTTTTTCTTTTGTACTTGGTATTAATAAAGTTGTCTGAAAGACAAAAAAGGAAGGGCTTTTCCTAATTTTGGTCTTTTAGCTTATTAGTAGATGGCTTCATAATCCTCGTGAGATTGCCATAAAGATAACAAGAATTTACTAAATAGCTCCCTTATTTGGTAACCTTAAATTTGGCAATCTCACAAAAGGTACCAATTTAGGGCGTCATCTACTATACAGCTGCAAAATAGAGCCAAAATTATTTCTCCGAATTTTGTCCAAAAACAAATGAACAAGTGGAAGAAACTCGGTCCGGACTAAACTAACATTTCGAAGTCGTCCAAGTCTACTGTTTATCCTTATCTCCATTCTCCAGACCCTGGCTAGTTATCCATTTATCTGTATCTCCGTTATCTTCATCGTGGCTAGTTATTCATTTATCTGTACCTCTATTCTCCTTACCATGGCTATTCGTTTAGTCGCAATTTCATTTTCTCTGTATACTTTAAGCCGGCCACTCTAAGTTCCAGTGATTTATTCCTTGTTCCTCTACCTGTCTGCTCCTTTATAAACTCTAATCTCTGGTATTCAGGTATCCTGATCCCTAAAGATTTAGAGAAATCTAACAAACTTTTGAAATTTAACAAGAGTATAAATATATATAATGTGACAGTTGGGTTAAAAAAAAAAAAAAGCGGGGGGCACCCAGTAAGGCCAGTCAGTACCCCCTTTAGTGCTACTTACTGTCTTTTGCCATATTATTTAAAATAAAAAGGAGGTATTCTTAAATGCTAGTCTTCCTAATTTGGGGTATGTAGTCCTCTCGAATATCAATGATCATCCTTTCCAGTGTCTCAAGCACTAGCTTAGGCATAATGTAATATTTTTGGATAAACTTTTAAAATGTTTTTTTTTTTTGCCTTTAAATTACTATATCAATAGTAAAATATTGTTCAAAATAATTGGTTGGGGAAACTTCCATAGCTTACTATCCTTTTGCGGAAAAAGTGTCTCATCCTTGGTGACAATTTGAAAGGAGGAAAAGATCTGAGGAGTTTTCTCAGCCGCTGCTACTTCAAGATGGCAGCCACCAATATGTGACATTATATATAGAGATCTGATCATAATCTATGAAAGACTGGCATTGTAGGGGGAAGTCTTACTTCAGATGGTAATAGAGGAAAGGAAGGATAGAACAGATTGACAATGAGGATAAAGGACAGAGAAAGGCAATTGAACAGGGAAGGAAGATCCTTGTCTTGCAAAACAATAATAAAATGAAGTGGTACACTGCAGATGAGTTATATAGCCAGTATTAAATCTGCAGTGCAGCAAAACGAGTAATCCGGACACTGCAGGGTTTCATGGAGTTTAGTGTAACACACAAGAGGCAAACTTTGACTCTTATCTGAGGTTCTTATTAAACTTTTATCAGCTTGCTAGAGACCTCAGATAGAGGTGGAAATGTTGCTACTTGTGTGTACACTATACTCCATTAAATCTGCCTTTGAAGTAACCCCTAAATGCCCAGATTATGCTTTTTGCTGTACTGCTGTTTGGGGATTGTGCCAACCTCATTTTGGCTAAGCACCTTGTGGTTCTGATGTGAAGTGCAGTTCCATTGTTCTTGTGATACATTATTAAATCTGCAGACTCATTTTAGGTTTTCATGGTATGTGACAGTACAATCTGTTGCGCAATGATTAACTGTATAGCTAGGATTATAGGAAAGCACACATATCATGTATGTGACAATTGCTGCATGATGTTAAACTGCAGAATAAAATACCACGGTATATCGTCTTACTTCTTAAAGGAACACTATAGGGTTAGGGACACAAACATGTATTCCTGACCCTATAGTATTAAAAACACTATCTAAACCCCCTGGCCCGCCCTCACCCCCCTAAATATAGTAAAATCTTACCTTTATTCCAGTCTGTTGGTGCTGGCTCTGCCCCTGATCTGCCTTCTTGGCTGACATCATCAGAAGCGTTGATCACACCCAATCACAATACATTTCCATAGGAAAGCATTGGATTAGCTGAGATTGTTCATTTTGATGATCTCAGCCAATAAGGCAGGCCAGGAGGTGGAACCAAATGTCACCCTGACCAATCAGCATCTCCTCAAAGACATGCATTGAAGCAATGTATCTCTATGGGGAAAGTTCATTGTCTCCATGCAGAGGGTGGAGACACTGAATGTCAATCATACTGTGCAGCACTGCCCCAGAAAGCACCACTAGTAGCCATCTGAGGAGCGGCCAGTGGAGTTATCCCTAAGCTGTAATGTAAACACTGCATTTTCTCTGAAAAGACTGTTTACATCAAAAACATGCTATCCTCACCAGAACAAATACAATAAGCTGTAGTTGTTCTGGTGACTATAGTGTCCCTTTATCAACAGAAACAGGAGGGTGTCTGACTATGTATTCACAGGAGGGTTCCTGATTATGTATACCTCTACTGTTTGAATGCTTGAAGCATGTTTCTTGAAGCAAACTTATCTCTTCTTGCTGTAAACAACCTAGTAAAATCTTGTGTCACACTTGTAGATTGTGCTATTAAACATTTCTAAGATAGATCAGTTATATGTTTGTAAAAATAAGGCAGGGGGAGAGGGGCTGTTTGTTGTTTGACAGGGCAGCTTCTTTCAATACTATATTATGAATTTCAGTCAAAGATTTAGAATTATCTTCCTCAACAGGACAGCACTGAAGAGCTGCAAACGTACAATTTACCGGAAAAGTGTGAGTGTGTATTTCTGAGTGTATGTAATTTGTATATATATGGGTGTATGGGTCTAGGAGTATGTATATTTGTGTGTGAGTGTGTCTGGGAGCAGGTATGCGTATGTATGGGAATTTGTATCTTATTATGTGTATGTCTGGGACTATGTATCTGTATGGGTGTGTCTGGGAGAATTTGTATGTGTGTGTGTATGCGTATCTGTGAATCTGTGAGTATTTGGGGGAGGGTACATGCACTCAAACACTGTTTTTAGATACTGTGCACAATCAAAGACACACTTATGCTCTTGTCCGCACTCATTTAATTTGCACATGGCACACATTTTCCATCTTTCAACCAATGAAGAAAAACATCTGTTTTGGTTTTTTTAAACTTTTTATATATTTTTCCTTATTTTT